ACCACCACAGCCTGCGCTCCCCTGGACTCCTCTGCACAGAGCCATTGAGGAGAGCTTAAGAAGATAACTATCTAAATAGAAAACATCTACATTCGCAAATACCTCACAAAAAGCACCGTGAGACGCATGTGAAAGGGAAAAGCAAGTGTCCGCCTTCCCCAACATCCACCTCCTATCAGGGGTTCTTTCGCAAAGCCGGTAGCCACAATAGCGGCTTGTTCTTGGCACAAAAGGCCACGACGGCGCACCAGAAACCCTGCTGATACTTAAAAGGCACAGATCCAAGGTCAGCCAGGCTCAGCGCCAAGGCTCCGGCAATAAACCATCGGATCCCTTCTGAAGTGGGCAAAGTAAAAGACCTTTTAATTGTAGAGCTCTACAAGTCTTGCATATTAATTTAAGGTTCCCCTTGAAAGGCCAGCTTTCCTCAGCCCCTCAGCAGAGGGCGGAGGACGGGGGACCACCTTCAGAGAGGTGGCACAGCTCTTCCCCAACGCTCAACTGCCCGACGACCCAGATTATAAGAGAAGGGCGACAAAATCGCCCCCCGAAGCCAGCCATGGTTCCGACTGCCCGCCGCAGCTCCCGCAAGCCTGCCCCATCCATCCGCCAGCGCCGACGCCGCACCTGCACGTCTACACGGGCTACAAAAATAGTTGCCGTGGGAGAGACTTTGTTCGTAAATCGAGCGAGAAAGTTCATTAAACGATAAAAATTCCAACCGTGCTACCGGGATGTAAATTGCATTCATACCCAGAGCTGACATCTTAAACAGTTTAATTTAGGTACAGCTTTTAGCTGCGCTGGGTGTCTGCAACAGAAACAGATGCCTTGAATCATTTCAAAGTGTGCTCCTGTCAGAAATGTCCTTTCTGACACCAAAATCAATTTCCTTCTCCTTTACTAACTACTTTTCCAAAAATAGAACGGGAGAAGTTGCCTCAATTTTATCTTTTGTAAGTGGTACAAAACGTGCTTTTAAGCTTTAAGGAAGAAGATGGCGGCACGCAACACGTGCGACCGCTGTAATTAGTACTATTTTGATAGAGCAACCGGCAGTGAGGACGAACCCGATCCATCTTCATTACGGAGATGCACAAAACCCTCGAGAAGGCGGGTGGAGAGGCGGACGGGCTGTTTCCCCGCGGCCCCACGGGCGGCAGGCGGCCCCGAGGGGAGGGCAGGACGGTTCCCCCCCAGCCCCGCTCCCGGCTCTGCTGGAGCAAAGGCAGCCTGCGGGGCCGGCGTCCTTTCGCTTCCCGCTGGTGGCCAGAGGAACACCTCAGCAGTTCCAAGGACCTTGCTGTGCGTACGTGAGCAGGCCGCGTAAATCACGCCTCTTCGGTACGTTTGCAAACCCGATTAAAACAAAAGGCAGAGCTCTATAGCGATGCAGTCGGGAAAAGGATTCTTCAGCGCCCGGTGCCTTTAAATACCGAGGCTGACATTCAAGCGCTGCCCAGTCGCTCCATTCCCCTAAAATCCACCAGCGAAAGCAGGTCCCTGTCCTGCAGAAGGACTGCTCTCGGCGTGGAAGCCCTCTCCTGCCCAGACTGCCGGGCAGCAAAGGAACGGGGAAAAGCCCTGCTCCTCCTCCTAGCTCGTGGGCAAACACTCAATGGCACGCTGCGTGCCGTTAGGCTTCGCGCTGGCACCAAGGACCTCATCCCGCCAGCCAAGCGCCCCCCTTTCAGCTTTGCTCTTGGGGACACCCGAAACCTGTCCCGTTCCCGTCTCCCCACAAGGTCCCCCACTTTTCCTCCCCGCAGGAAGAGGCGGCCACCCGGACCTCCCAGGCAGAAGTACTTCAAGAGCTGTCCCTAAAGCGGTACCCCATGGGAATTTGGCTGTCTTGTTGCCAACCGGACACTGGAACCTCGGGAGAGCAACCTGCTACCCGGAGTCCTCGGGAAAGCCACCTCTGTGCTGGGGACCGTGAGACCCCCCCAGCCCCGACCCTTCTCGCATGCTGGAAAATCTGCTCGGGAGCCCCACAAAGAGCCAAGAGTAATAGATAACCAGGTCTCGGCTCACACAGAAAGAACGGTGGAGGCTCCCGAAGGTGTCGTATTTACCGCATAGCCATCCCCAGTCCATGGACGACCGTCCGTCCCCGGCCCTCCCCTTCCAGCGCTTTACCGCGCTGTGTTAGATCGACTCTTGGCCCTGAAGAGACGGAAGCATCTCCCGGACTGCTCAGCTAGGGAGGCGCCGGGCCAGGCTGCACGGCCACCAGTTACGCGGACACCAAAACACGCAAACACGGCAACGCCTTCTAAGGCTTTGCTTTTAACCTACACAAAGGAAAAAACTGTACCGGTTTGCGTTCTCAAAGGAAAACGGGATGCGGAAAAGCAAGCTCAGAAGGAGTAAAGCTACAAAAGCACAGCCCGAATAAGCTCATATTTCTGAGAAACGGATTGGGAGGCTCAGAGCTGAGCGGTGACTCAGCCGGGTGAGGGCATCTGCATGGCACATTAGCAGCGCCGGGGAAAGAAGGGCCCTTCAGCAGCTGTAAGCAGTAGCGCTCCCCGTCATATTTTAAGTTTATTTTTCCTTGTCTGACCGGTTCCCCCCGGGCAGAAGGCTAATGACGGCACTTCATCACCGGCAGCGGCGGGTATCTGCATCCATCCCGCCAGCGTGACAGCTGTGTCACCGAGTCCCCAGCCACCGCCACCGCCCGCACCCATCCTCTGCTGCGACGCCGCAGGACGCAGCGCCCCGCAGCCATTATTCACCAAGCGCTTTCATTAACAAACTGCCCTTAATTACAGCCGTAATTGCAAAATTATTTCGTAGCGGCAATTACTCTTCTCAGCCCGATCCAGGCTATTTAAGTGGGGCATTGTCTCCGAAAATGGCGTGAAGCCAACTCATCTACAACCAAAAATCTGCTTTAATGGCGTTGCGCGGTTCCAAAATGTGCACCCAAAACGGCAGCTCCCGGGGGAGGGGGGGAGCGCTCCCCCTGCGCGCCGGGGGACGGAGCCCGGCATGGGACACCGCGTCCCACCGCCGGCGACCACCACGTGACGAGGGCTAACGAGGAAACGGCTCATTAAACAAGCAGAAAGGTCAAGAAGGGACAAAGGCCCTTCGAAACCCAAACTTAAAGCTCTCTGGCGCAACTGTTGATCTTCACGATTTACAGCGCGATCCCGGATCTCCCCGTAACAGCAGGAGACTGCGACAAGCGGGGGATTTTCTCCCAAAAGACCACAGCTGTGTCAAGAACTCCTCATACATCATCCTTACAACAACTTTACAGCCAGTAAGTGAATCTCTTTCATTTTGATCATTTCAAATACTCCATTAATGAGAAAAATTGAGGCATATTAGTCAGCGATCTAAAGTATGGGCAAGTGCGAGCTCAGTGCCAGGTTGGAAGCACTGCGCATCTCTGGTGGCGTTGGGGACAGGAAGAGGGGCCGGCTACGACCCGCCAGCGGGAGAAACCACAACCGGCGTTCACCGGCCAGCACCCTGCTCCGAGAGCCACGGGCCGGCCACGTTCCGCCCACCAATTCCATGCTCCTCCTCGCTTCTGCCGCTTTTTACCGTCCTCTGCAGCAAATACGGCAGCTGCGAGTGTGCAGAGAAACACCTACCAGAGAAAATTCCATGCCAAGTTCCCAGTTTAGTGGCCAGCCCAGCCCAAACCACGACACATAGTTGGAAAAAAAGACATATCAAACGGTAAATCAACCTGCTACGAATTGAGCTCTTCTGCTTTCCCAAGTCCCAGTTCCCACCGTACGCGGATGAATCTTTCACGTCTGACCCGGGTGAGGTATGCAGATTTGGGAATAACACAATCTTCAACGCTGTGGGTGTACCTGATCCACAAAGAGTGCCAAACTGCCGGTTTGGCTGTCGGGGGCTCCCCTCGCCGTGCTGGGAGCAAGGCCATCTCCTCAGGCTGGGAATTCCGACGGCAGCGTGTTCCTAAATGCTGAGAACTGGGGGGGGTTACCTGCATCTGTATCATTTTGGAAATTCTAGGGTAATTTATTTGTCCGTTTTATTAGAAGAGCACATGGAAGACTCGCCTCGCTCGGGGCAGTTAATCCAACGCGGTTATTTCCCCCATGGAATGTCACACCCAAGCGTTGCGGGTGAAGGGGATGGGGAAGCGGATGACTCGGCTGGTCCGTGCGGGGGCTGAGCCGGCAGCTCGTGCGGCATCACCCACACACCGCGGCCAAACAGGACTGAAAGCGCTGGCACCCACTGCGGGACGCCGAGAGGCGCAGACGCCCGGTTGATGGCACGACTGACGACAGATATCTAGCTACAGACACATGTTCTCCGAGATCTCAAATATCTCAAATCACAATACGCTCACGGCCGCGATGTTACTGCACTTCTCAGTCAAACCAGAGACAGTCAATAATCACCCAGAAAAGCACCATCTGTTACGCCTTATTGCTTAATTAAACTAAAATACAGAACTCCTTAATTCTCACAGCTCATAAAGATAAAGGTCATCACGCCGCTTCTCTGTCAGGTAGCCGGTACATAAAACAGGAGGCTGGAGCTTCTTTTGCCCAGCCATCCCCCAGACACTGCGCCACCCGCCCGACAGACGGACACAGCACTCCAGCAGCGGGACACCGGGTGGACGGTGTCACTTGTGGACCTGACAGCGGGAACAGATGGACGGCGATGCCCGAGACGTCACTCGCTCCTTCAGTGGGGCTACGGCGGGCACCCCCTCCCCGCCGTCCCACCCCTCCTCGCTCGGGCTCCCAGCGGCCACAGAGCACCGGCACAAAGACCTGGAAGAGCAGGACCAACGATGGTGCCTATCCACAACGTCCTACCGAGAGCTTTTGCTTTTGGCCGTCCCACCAAGATGTCAAAGTTGCCAAGCACTTCAGCCCACTATGTCCTACCACCCCTCTGTCCAGAGGACTTGTCAATATCCCCCGTGATGTTGAATAACCATCCCGACATTCCCATGGGAACACCGGGCGTGTGCCCGAACGGCCGCTCACCGCTGCGGGAACGGAACGGGAACCGAGAGGCTCCCGGCAGACGCCACGGCGCAGTCGCCCGCGCTTCCTCGTGCTGCTTCTGCGTCCGCGTGCAGAGAAAGGGGAAACAGAACCGTAAATAGCGTGGCGCGGCACCGGCAGGCGCCATGGCGTCCCCGGGTCCGGCTCAGCGCCGTCAGCACTGCCGCCAGGACAGACAGGAGAGGGGCCACCTTCCCCTCCGGTCATCGTTTCTATGAGAAAAGAGGTTTCTGGCACATTCTCTCGTCTGAGGGCCCCGCCAGCCTGCCCAGGGTGACAGATGCCAATGACCGACCCCGACCCTCTTCCCCCTGCGCGGACGGAGCCCGCTCCCGCACCGCTCGCCTGCCGATGGCTCCCGCCGGACCACGCGCAACGCTCCGCTCTCCCCAAAGCTGCTGTTTTCCAAAACCTTCCAGCACCATCACTGCTCTCCTCGGAAATATCTGCTTTGTCTTTCAACCATGAACCCCAGCGGAGGCCTTGCTAATGCCAACCAAAATTCAATTACCAGCTTGTCAGCTTTTCTGCGTTTCCTTTGCGAGTCCTGGGTTACAAGGAAAGGTGAATTAAAACCTGTCTAATGGGTAAGAAGCCTTCAGACTGCCACAGCACCTTTCAGGGGCGCATCTGAGCGCTTTACGCAGCACTGGAGACTGACGAGAGGCTTTACGGAGCTTCTCTGAGAGATGAGGACTAACAGATGGTATGGTGTGATTACGGGGGCTTTTTTTTTCTTGCTTTCTGCTTCCTGTAGGTGGAGGCAAACTCCTTGCTGAAAAGAGGAGGACGTGCAGAAAGCAGAGTTGAAAGGTACCTGCAGCGGCTCTGGCAGAAGCGCCAGCGCATCCCTCACGCCCCGACATCTCCTGCCGAAGAGCATCCTCCCCGGTGCCCCCCGCGGTGCGGTCCCCGCGCGGGGGCTCCCGCAGCCCCACACCCCCACCGGGCAGCTCCCCCACAGCACGCGCCGCAGAAGACCTCAAATGGTGGTTTTGCCTCACAAGCCCATGGACCATCGCACCACCCGGGCGGACGCCGTTTCAGCGCTCACCCCACCACCACTAACGTATTCTGTCTCCTCAACACTTTGGAGCCCGATGAGCTCTGCCCCTTTCCCATCGGGGCGTCCTGCCCTCGCCACCGTGGCGTGGACGGGCCCCGGCATGGACGGGCTTGCGGCAGCAGAGGTGTCCCATCCACGAGCCCCATCCTCCGCCCAGGCGGAGCCGCATCAGAGCCGCAGCACTCGGGGACAAGAGGCTGATGCTTAGCAGCCAAGGCTCGGGCACACGGCTATGGCCAAAGCCCCGGTGCCGAAGGCTTCTTCCCTCGTGGAGCGATTAAGCTGTCTGCCAGCGCAACTCCAGCACTCTAACGAGCCGCCTAACCTTGCCCCTCTTCTCCACCCAGGCTTTAAAATTTAAAGCTCCAGCTAGCTCAACACGAATAGATGAGCAAGAACATCAGAGTGCTCTCGGTGTAGGTGCAGTGCTTTATATCTTCATTAATATTTCAGTTTCTCCCATCTCCTCCTCCTCCTCCCGCATCTGTCCTCGTTTTATTTATATCTGCAGGATACTGCTCTTACTTCTTCCGAGTCCTGCTTTGCTTGGAGGAACTCTCCCGGCCACGGGACTGCCCGCTCTCAAGGAAGCAAGCCCCCCTGCCCCAAAACCAGCGGGACCGACAGGGCGCCTGTGCCTCTACGGGCGCTTTCACGTACGACGAGCCAGGGACAGGCGAGGCGCGCCAGTGCCAGTACCGCCGTCTGGCGTGGCTCATCCCGGTGAAAGCAAGGGAGGACTGGGCGCTCGGCACAGCAAGGCGTACCGGGGGCACTGCGCAACCGGGGTCTCGGAGCCCCCTGGTCAGGCAATACTTTTGCGACCTGATTATGAAGAAAATGAAATTACACAAAATATTTCACTAAATATCTTTTTAAGCCTATTAATATTAATATCAATTCCGCCTCTTCTGTGCCTGGCATTTAAAAAGCCGTTTTAAAATCTCCAACTAATTTAAGACTTACATCTAGAACACAAATGAGCAAGCGAGACTCCCCGCTCGCTGTTTTGCCTGGCACCCATCTCTGCCCAGTTAGTCTTAGATGTCACTCGGTGACACTTAAAGATGAATATTAAAAGCATGCTCTCGCCTGCAAACGTTTTACAGCTTTCTGGCCACCGAATTTGTTTAAAGCTGCAATTATACTGAACAAACAGTCACTATGAGACCCAAGTACTCTATTCATTTGCACGTCACCACATAACTAGCACACCGATATGGTTTCACATTAATATTCAGAATTCTGTACTGAAGGAAATAAGTGGCGCTACGTGTGCGTGCACAGGTGCGGACGCGTTTGCTTTTCCCCATGCAGCAGATACCATCTTTAAGGGACACATTAGGAGATGCGTACTACCTGCTTTGCACGCGATCGCCCTTCCTCCCTTTCCTCCTCTACTGAACTGCTTCAGATTTACACATACGTATTGTGTTTATTCCAAGAGCCGCTTTTCCTGCAACCGTCTCACAAGACACGCAGCTCATTTTTGTGACGGTCATCATCCAGCAGCACAGGGAAAATGCAAAAAAAAAAAATCACCTTTTCTGAACTAGCTGCCCAACAAATGAAAGGTGAACAGTAAATAGCTTACACCAACACAGCTTAAAAACTAGCACATCAAGAACAAAAGCGGGGGGAGTTGTGCTCCGCAGCCTCCCCGCCCGCCCAGCACCCTTTCCCGCTCTCTCCGGGAAAGGAGTCGGTCAATACTCCCGAGACGGAGTCACTATAGCATTGCCATGGTCGTGGGATTTCCTTTCTGGTTGTTCAGCAGCCCTCGCACACCGTCACCGCGGCACTCTGCCGCTCTCCCGCACACCAGCACCTCCCCAACATCCCACCCAGCATTAACAAGCCGCTGCCCCCGCGCCTCCCTCTTCTTCCCAGAACCTTTCCTAACGAGCTACGTGAACAGCGATGCCCACAGCACCTCACCGGCTCCTCCCTCCACCCATCATAAATTCTGATTTCGCGTCATGCCAATCTGTTCTCCAGCCTGGGTAAGAAGACCCAGTCTCCAGCCGGTTTGGAGCACAACGGGATAAAAATACCAAGTTTTACTGGAGTTCAGACACGCAATCACTTCGGGAGCACTGCAAAACATGCAAACTTCAACAATTTTCAGCAAGCAGCCTGGTTAGCCTTTCGGGGTTCAAAGGAAACCCACCTCTTGGGGGAAGAAATTAAAATAAAACGCACAAACACGTATCCCACGAGCCCGCAGTCCTGCCCACACCGCCGGGACGCTCACACACGGCAAACTGGAAAACGGGCCCTAAAAGGAACGCGACGGCTCAGCAGCAGCCCATCACTTCCAAGAGGGAAATAAAGCCGCTCACTGGCGTTATTCCACGCCGCCTGCTCTTTCAAAATAAGACAGAGCGGCACAGAAGCGCTGTCAGCGGCGGAGCCCCTTCCCCTGACGCTCCTCCCGAGCTGCGGCGGAGCATCCCCGCACCGGCGCTGCCGGGAGCGATCCCCGCGGCCGTACTGCGGCCGATGCCCTTTGCCGGTCGCCCGTCCCGCTGCAGTCCCCTTCAGTTCCCCGGTGACGTGTGGCCACAGAGGAACTGAGCGGCCGGTTGCTGAGCCCAACGCCTGTACCCACGCGGGAGGGGACCGCAGGGGGTCCCCCGTCCCCTCCAGGGAGCGCATCCGCGCTGTGCCTTTGCCCAGGGAAGCACTCTGTCTGTACCGGGTGACGACGGAGAGCTGCTCACGTGGATGCAGACGGCGCGGCGCGATGCACGGCAGACGCCGCAGCCCCACTCGCGGGGAAGGGAAGGGGGAGCGACGCGGAGCTGCATCTCCCCGGGTCCCCCCAGCTGCTCTGCAACCCCCAGTTTCAGCCTCAGCCTCTGCCGCTGGGGAACACACAGGCAGCTCCAGCGCTCAGGATTCCTCCCTTTTATCTGCCATGACTCACGAGCTCGTATCAAAATATTTTCCCTATAGCTGGCAAAATCCGCAGCCAAGTTTTCCTTCCCTCTGACAAACCAAAGTCTATGAGCACTGTGGAGGCAGGGGGGGAGCCACAAGCGCCCGTTCTGCATTTCAACAGAGTCGCTCCTTCCTCACCCATCTCGCGAACTCAAAGGATCACACGATGCATTTTGAAGGGCAACACCCAATTAACATCATGCTAAATAAAACTTCACTTCGTGCAGCAAAAAGGCGCACATCAGCAAACCTCACGGACCTCGCACGGATGCCGCCTGGCTCAAAACCAAGCCAGAAGAACCCAAACAGTAATTAATAGCGTGGGAGAGGCTGGATCCGCACCCGCAGCTCCGTGCTGAGTGCATCCACTAGTACCTTGGCAAACGAGGAGAGGAGCCAGTCCGGAGAGCAGGGAGCCAGCCCGGGATTCGGGGGAGGGGTCTGGTCCCGGCACCGCCGCTGGCATTGCTCAAGACGTCGCTCTGCAGCTCCACGCCAAGGCGCTTCGCTGTCTGCCGCTCCCATCCGTACCCGCCAGCCCACGGACAGCGAAGGCTCATCTCTTCGCGTGACCTGGGCTCCAAACCAAACATGGCTATCCTCCTCAACCAACGGACACGATGCTAAACCAGATACTGCCTGGAAAGATGCTCAGACAACATTTTGCTCTTTGCTTTCTATACGAAGACATCCCTCAGGCCCCACCGTGCCGGCTCACGGCTCACTGTGCCCGGCACACAGAGCGGCCGGCGGCTGTGGTCCCCGCTCTGAGGGGCGATGGCTCGGGGGATCAACCCCTCCGTGCTCCCCACGAGATCCCCCACCGTCACCCACGGCCCACTCGTGGGGCAGGAAAGGCAATGCCAAAAAGCAATCTTTGCCTCTCAGATTATTATTATTATTAATATTATTATTATTATCTTTCCTCCTATCTAAACCGCACAGCACAAAAAGCTGCCGACATAAAGTTCGTCAACCGAGTTTCACTTTATGGCACCAACAAGATCAGAAAACAATTCTCTATCTTCTTGACAAGTTAAATGCATCTAACTCAATGTTCCCAATCGAAAAATTTATGAATTCAGTGAGAAGCCCATGTAATATCTTCACTTTATATC